CCAACGTTCTCCGCGATGTCTAAAGTGCTCGTGAATTGTTCCTCGCCGCGCATGAATGTTAAATGCCACCTCTTGACGCCAGCAAAGTGCTCGTGGGCCTCCAGCACGACCATGACGTCGTGGTCCCGGGGGTGTGGGGAATGGTCGGTTTCTGCATTTTGGCGAGACACCTTTCTCACTTCGGTGAAATAGACTGTAGGGATGCCGACCCGTTCTGGGGGATTAAGTTGTTTATTTAAAAGAGAGTATAGGTTAATTCCGTTTTTGCTTTCTTGTTTTGTTGAATTAATGTACGATTTGATATGTTATTTGATTTTCTTTGTTATGTTATTGTTACAGTGTTCAAGAGATTTTATCGGATATCTTATTTAGTTCATTAATAGATCTAGAGATTTTATTGAGTTCTGTCATTCAAAAACTATTCTAGGAAATGTATCAGACCCTTGTTCTGTAACAGATTAAGTGTTCTTCCAGAGAGTTTCCTCCTCCACCAATACGTACAATTAGGTTAATTCTGAACTCTAAACAAATCTCACAACACAGACCGTCCTGCGAGAGTAATGTGAAGTCCGACTCAGCGCAGGCTAGACTCAGGCTGATCAGTATTAGCCACGTCCCCCTCATCGCTAACTATGGTGAGCGTTCGTCTGGGTGTTCTCGGTGCGACTCGATGTCCTGCGAATTTGTTGAATTAGTTTTTGAATCAACTAGTATCAGGCAAATGTTAAGAAATGTGTGGGGTATTTGTATGGCTCACTTTGGATTACAGAGGATATGATGTATGTACTTTACATATGTGTATGCATGTATAAATGTGTATGTATGTATGAATGTATATCCGATCTTTTATTTGCTTCACCGGATTTCCCTGACTATGGCTACAGGAGCTTACATGATACACCCAAAAATACCCCCAACGATTAAACGAGGGAAAAATAAGTATAATCAACAAAGGATACTCAGAAGTTGACTGAGACCTTTCCTGTACTCACACCTTCAACTCCTAAGAAGCAAGCGAGCAGTAGGGTGTAGCTTCTAACGACAAGTGAGGAGAGTGTGCACGTCGAGAGCTCAGGAAACAGACTGAGTGGGATATGACGTATAAGCGATATCCTTATCAGTAATTGTTAGAAGAAGATGATAACGTTCGCATCCCCCTCCCCACAGCAGTGGTTGGCGGGAAACATAATGAGGTTCCTTCTCGACTGTTCTGAGAATATTCCTCGTTAGTTCAAGGAGAAACTGTCTTGAGGTTGGCAGGGGCTGTTACAATAGATAGATAGATTGAGAGATAGATATGTAGATAGATAGATGGATAAATAGGTAAATAGATAGAGAGATGGATATGGACAGATAGGCAGATAGATTGATAGATAAATAGATAAACGATATATTGACAAATAGATATAGATACAGGTATGTGTGTGACTATGTGCACTTGTGTGTGTGATATCCATGTGAGTGCCTCTGCATGAAAGCATCGAGAATAATGAACATACATGCAATAATAATACATATATGTTTTTTTAATTTATTTATCAAAATGTAAACAGACGATTAAAATCTGTTGTACAGTTCTAATATGTACACATTTTGATAGGCAGCAAGCTATCCTTCGAATAAAGGCTCCAATATGACTAAAATTACCATATTTTCTGCATTTTTTATTTCCATAGAAATGATAAAGATATATAATAATGATGTTAATGATATTGATTATTATGATAATCATTGCCAATTGTATTATTATTATTATTATTATTATTATTATTATTATTGTTATTATAACTACAGTAATCAAAAATATTAAGTACAGGGATAATGATGATGATGAAGATGATGATGGTGGTGGTGACTTTTATGATTATTGTTATTAATTTTAGAGATCCAGTCTGCATGTTCAAAACCGTTGAGTTTGGGTATTAATAGATTCCAATGTCTACAAATGAAATATACCAGGAATTGTCAGAGTAATTAATTAGTGCCATTTTCATTGTCTTTGTCATTACTCTTGTCATTGTTATTATTATTATTTATTATTGTTATTATTATCTACCATTGTTATTATTATTATTATTACATTATCATTCACCATGTAATTCCAACATAATAATGATATAGCAGAGCAGTAATGTGTAAATCAAGTAATTAATGGAATTTCAGTAAAATAGCTGTTTTTAAGACAATCAATTCATAACCCATAATTCTAGCATGTGTTGTGACATTGGGGTGCAAGCCATTCAGAACTTACTATTACAATCATATTATTTCCTTTACATATAAAGAAACCTTGGTGGTACGGGAAGCTCGAGCGGTACGACTTGTGGCTCGAGGTCTTTTCATACGCCCGACAGCGCCGATGCCCCGCCCACAAAACTTCTAATACTTTGTAGAAGTCTGTGACGCTACAGGTAAGGTCTATGTATTTGATCTCTAATAGCCATTCATATTTTTAATATTATTATTATTATCTAAGAAAATATTTCCAGAATTAATGCAA